ATAGTTGGATTTAAGAAAGTTTCATAACAAGAAAATTATATTTAAAATAAATAACATATTTTATATATAATGTAGTGTATATTATAAATATTATTTTTTAATATTTTGATGAAATGATTATTAAAAACTGTTAAAATAATTGGATAATTCTTATTTCAATGATTAATAAAAATAATAGTTGGATTTAAGAAAGTTTCATCAAAAGAAAATTATATTTAAAATTCATACAAACTTTTGATTACTTTGTAAATGAAAAATAAATGGAATATTGGAAGTGATAAAAGAGATACAAGCAATAAAAGTTTTCCAATTGTAGTTATCAAGAAAATTATACAATTGGAAATTCTTTGAATTATTTTGATGAAAGCTGCCTGATGAGATTTTGAGAAATTTATTATAATGATTATTTATTTTTCCAGGCGTCTTCAAACTAAAAAATTGATGTATTGATCAGAATTAAGTTAGACGATCAATACAACATGCAAGGTTCGAATCAATAGTCATTACTATACTTATAACTTGTTCTATATCTGTAACTATTACTAATAACTATTAAAAATGCAATATAAATTTTTCATATGAAAACTGTTCCATTTAATGCTACAAATTTAGTAAAATATTCGTATTTTTGAAAAATTATTATTTACAGAGATTTAAATGCAAATTTTAATTAACAAAAATTTAATTATCGTTATTTATAGATAGATTTAAATTTTTAACTTCAAAAATGTTTTTATACTATATAATTATAAAGAATATATGATTGTAATATTTAAGTTATAAATTATATACCAAAATAAATTATAAATATTGTAGATTTTAAATTTCAATTTCTTTTTTTTTAATAAAATAATTCAATATTTTTATTTCTGTAAATAGTATGCTTGAAGAATAATTTAATCTCTATTATATACCAATGACAAATGTCAATTTTGGATAATATTTTTTATTCATAAAGAAAAAAGAATAGATTTGAGTCATATTGATTTTCTTATAGTGATTTAATAATAAAAAAATGTTTACGTTAATCTTTCTTTGTTCTTGAGAAATTAATGTAAAAATATTTAGCCTAAAGTGTTGGAGATGTGCAAGAAGTGTTTGAATCGAGTGCTTTACATTATGGTGTGAACATAAGGGGTGCATGGCCACCCCACATTTCGTCGCTAATTTGCATGTAGATATTGGATAAAATATTGTTCCAGTACACAATGAGTTCCAAAACGACTAACATAAGCAGAAAATGAATATTCGTTCTAGAAAAATATTAAAAGAAATATTTACACATTTTATTTGAAAAATATATGATTTAAATTTTGAGGTAGTAGAAATAGAAGACAGGGCAACGTAATTATTAATTACAGACATGGAGAATGAAATGCCAATCAATTCCTTCAATTAATTATGATCGTAAAATTATTGACAAAATTATTGATACTGAAATTTTAATGAATAACAATTTAGGAAGGAATTTCCTAATATATTCTCAGATATTTTCTCTATCAAAAATTTTGCAATTAGAAACTAATGTTTATATATTAATAAATATAATAATAATAGATAGAAATATTAATAAATATTGATGTGTACATATTTGTAAACTATCTAAGGTACCTAATATAAAATTTTAAAAAATTCTTACTAAAAATTATTTAAATATTTAATGAAATTAATTTATATTTAATGACACATTAATTTCAATAAATAATCAAATAAAATAAGGAAAATGCTTATTAATAATTATTGAAATATTTAATAACAGTAATCTGTCACATTAATTTCAATAAATAACAAATTAAAATGAAATAAAAATAAAAATATACTTATTAAAAATTACTAAAATATTTAGTGACATTAATCTATTCCATTAGTTTCAATAAATAATAAATTAAAGTGAAATAAAGATAAAAACATGCTTATTAAAAATTACTAAAATATTTAGTGACATTAATCTATTCCATTAGTTTCAATAAATAATAAATTAAAGCGAAATAAAGATAAAAACATGCTGATTAAAAATTATTGAAATATTTAATGATATTAATCTATCACATTAATTTTAATAAATAATAAATTAAAATAAAATAAAATAAAAAAGATTATCAAAATATTTAATGACAGTAATAGATTATATTAATTTCAATAAATAATAAATTAAATTGATTAACAAAATTCTAAGAAGAAAAAAAACAGTAAACGTTAACAAGTTAGAATTCGCAATTAGGTTCACGTGCGCTGACAAATCTGGCGACTTATATTTCACGTTCACGGGGAGAGTGTGACTCATTCGACGTGCCACTAAAACACGTACACCAAGAAGCAACAAGATGCCCTCGTGGAAATAAATGGGCGAAAACATACGTAATGTACAGTACTTTGTCTTTGTAACTTCTCTGTATGTATGAAACGTTCCTCAAGGTACTTGAATTAACTCTCGATTTCTACTCTACAGTATATTATTTTAAAACCTCTTCACAATCAATTTTTATATTTCACCTTTATTTCCCTATTCAAATATATTTTCGAATAAAAAATAGCAATGAAAGATAAAAATAAAAAATAAGAAATAAAAAATATAGATACATAAGAACAGATTAATTAATATATAATTAATAAATAAATATAATATATAATATGTAAAAATAGAAGATAAAAACAAAAAAGAATA